ATACCAAATAGTGTTAAATAAAAGAATAAAGCAGAATATGAAATGCAATGTATATATGTAATGATTATTATTATTGCTTTCAGGACTGTAGTCATTCAAGTCTCCTCAGTACCAAGAACCACAAGACTGGCCCTAATGACCATAACCCGCCTACCTCAGGAACTTGTTTTGTACATAAAATGAAATTCAACTGCTGTTCCCTAGCTTCAAGGCCCTACATAATCTGGCCCTTACTGTTCCCTACCATCTCCCACCAGTCTTCCTTCAGTCCATCAATGGCTTCTTTATGTTCCTGGACCCAGTGTTTCAGCCTAGAACACAATGTTCGAAAGGTCTGAACTCCTGATCTTTGCCTGGATAAGGCTTAAATGACACTGTCCTCCATTTTAAAAAATTCCTTACCGTACTTGCTAGTTTGCTTTCTTCATAACATTTATCACCGTTTGCAGTTACACTGTGTGGTTGCGGGAGGGGAGGTGGAGAGGAGCAGTTCCTAGGGCTCAAATACATGTGCTTGATCTTTTGTGCTCAAGGCTAGCACTCTACTATATGAACCATATCTCCACTTCTGGCTTTTTGGTGGTTAATTAGAGATAAGAGTCTCATGGATTTTCCTGCCTGGCCAGCTTCAAACCATGATCCTCAGATCTCAACCTCCTGAGTAGCTAGGAATAAACATGTAAGCCACCAGCATCCACCCAGCTTGTAGATACATTTTTAAATGTATGCACTGATATGTTTCCTATCTGTTTCCCTCACCAAGCTCTAAGCTCTGGAAGCACAAGAGGTGGTATCAGTCTGATGATATCTGATTTAGCCCTAAACACCCAGCAAACATTCCACAAGTCAGAGATGCTCAACCAATATTTGTCCAGATGAAATACCAAATGACATTTTATTCCAGCTTTCTTCATTCTATAGAAGAGAAAAACCAAAGATTTGGAGAAATAAATATTTCCTAAGCCACAGTGTCCAAACTGCCACTGGGTCAGGACTAAAGGCAAAGAAGAAAGGTAATACAGAAGCAGGAAGTGGGGAGAGGGTGCAGAGTTTCTACCCACTGAGTACATTTTCTAAAACCTCAGAATAATGCCGCCTTTGTGATTAAAGAGTATCCCAATATGCAATGATAGAATTATCTATTTCCCCAGAAATGTGGCTAATCAGAACTAACTACAAATAAATTCATGGTAAAGGTAAAAGAAAAGAAGCCATAGGGCTACACTCTCCTTTGCCCCAACTGTCCCATGGAGACCTTGGCCTCCAGCTCAACCTAAAACCAGAGGAAGATCCAAGAAACCCTGAAATCCCTCCCTCTTCCTGTCCCAAACCCTGTTTGTGCTGAGGGACTGTCGCCCACACAAGCTAACTGGTACTTTGGACCCAAACTGAGCTTTGTACCCAACTGTTGCAACTCAACTCTATTCTTTACCCAACAGAAACAGTGGAAAAGTAACCCTCGCTGAGATTCCCCAAGAGTCTGCAAGGGAGCCCTCTCAAGACCTGCAGCCAATGGACCAACAATGCATTTACCATTTCTTTGGCAAATTCTTATTCAGCATGACCCAAGGGCCTGAGCTGAGTTCCTGGCCAAACGTTTGCATGCCAGGATCTCAAGAGCAGGGAAATGATAAACTTCTATGCATTGTGAATAAGAGCTACTATGAAATAGCTAACTTTCCCACCTATCCCATAGGTTGGTTCTATCTGAGCTAATGAAGTAGCACAAACCTCATTACTAATGTCTGGGCAATATAATCTAGAAACCCAAGCCAAGTGGACTAGGAAGAAGTTACTACGTTCATGATTAACACTCTCCAGGTGCCCGCGTCCCTCAGAGCCTCCTTTTCAACTCATAAGAGGTGGACCAGATCTCTGGCCATTTCAGCCTGCTAGCTTGAAATCAATCACCTTTCTTTCTGATTCAGCAAAATAGATTTCCTTTAGAAATCAGAAGGGGAGAAGGGGAGGTAGAATTTTTTTAAAGTATGTTGTGTCAGGAGATTGTGTCCCTACTTCCTTTTTCAACAAGAACTCTGGCCACAAATTGCCTTTGACCAAACTTGCCTATCTCTCTAATCCTCACCCTTTAAAATGCAGAAGCAAAACTAAACAAGAAGCAACAAGCTCAAATCCAGTACAGACCAGCCTGGGCTGGATGATCCAACCACACATCCTGTTCCAGGACAGGGTACTCCTGATTGCTTTCCTGACTGAGCACAGAAAGAAGAAAAACAAAAAAGGCTTCCCTGCCATTTCCTCCTCCTCTAGGCTGGGCACTTCTGTGCAGCTACAAATAAAATTCAGAAGAGAGAAGAAAAGCCACTGAAATGGACTGGAATGAGGAGATATCAGCCTTTGATCTCAGCTCTGTGGCTGCTTGGTTGACCTCGGGGAAATCCCTTCTCTGCTTGGTGCCTCAGCTTCCCCAAATCTAAGATCAAAAGATTAGACTGGACTACCCCTGAGCTGCTCCCTTTCACTGTTGTGATGACATGATTCTTTCCATGACTCAGTAGTAAACGTACCACAGCCAAGACAATTTCCATATACTATGTTACTGCCACTGGGCTGCGAAAGGAGCAAGGAACATGAACCATACAGTAGCTAAGCAGTGAACACTAGGGCATGGGAACAACTGAAAGAGCAAGGTGTTAAGGCAAGAAGGAAGTCAGAAATGTCAAGATTTGGGATAGAAGACAGAAAAAAAACTAATGATACAGGAAAAAAGAAGAAAAGAATAGAGCCAGGCGCCAGTGGCTCATGCCTACTTAGGAGGCTGAGATCTAAGAATCACTGAAGCCAGCCTGGGCAAGAAAGTGAGTAAGACTCTTATATCCAATAAACTATTCACAAAAGCTGGAAGCAGAGCTGTGGCACAAGTGGTAGAGCACTAGCCTTGAGCAAAAGAAGCTCAGGGACAGTGCTCAAGACCTCTCCCCCGCGAAAAGAACAATGATACCACTAAAATGCAATCTGATGTGGAAATGTTGAGTTCCAACTATGGAGCCAGACTGCGAATTTGAATCCTACTTCTGCTTCCTTATTGGCAGTGGAAATCTCTGGTAAATTACAGAATCTCCCTGTGCATCAAATTATATATAGCAAGATGGCGGGGGCGGGGGGAGGGACTTTATGGGCTATAAAAGGGATAACACAGTTAATAACCTCCTTGGTTGGCAGGGATGGGGTGGGGTGGGGGCTTTGCAGTAACAGGCTAGCCTAACATGCCCTGAGTCTGATACCTAACTTTACCAATCCACTTTGTGTCTGATATATGAGACTCTCATTTTAAATATTGCACTTATTCTTATAAAATATAACACATCATATTTTTCCTAAAACTGATAGGATCCATAGATTCTAGTCTACATTCTCTTACTAGTGACTCCAGAATTCAGTTCCCCATCTAGAACATGAGTGGCTGAAGAAAATCAGTATATCTCAAAGTCAAAGCAGTACACGTATTTTTGAAGAATTATAGTTGAGTTCTTTGTGAAGATTTTTTAAAATCCTGTGTTTCAATTCAATGGCCATCTAAACAAATTCTGATAAACTTATCTGAAATTTTCTGAAAGCTAACTTTAGTATCAAGTTTTGGCACAAGACTTCAAAGTTCAGGTTTTCATTTGTGTGTATAATTGTGTTGGCACCAAGATAATTGTAGCAGACAAATGAGAAACAAGCACATGCAAACTGAAAAAAATAGAGCCAAATGACATCAAATAAAAGTTATCCAAGTAGAAAAATGGATGAAGAACTGAATCATTAGCACAAAGTAATACATACTGGCTAAACACCAAAGATGAGTACTACATTATGCACTAATATATTTACCTTCCAACTCATAAATTGGGTTTCAGCTACACAATGTGAATTGTCCTGTCACACCTCTGGTGATCATTCAAATGGCACAGTTTTACAATTTTTTGCATTTAATTTTTAAATCTATGTGGATTACAAAATTACAGTATAGCCTACAGTATAGCTATCACAGAGCATAAGGAGTATATTATGAATATACATAAGTGACATTCTAACATAAATATAGTGAACACAAAGTACCTTGACATTTTTCTTCTTTTAAACGAAGGTCCAAGTACTATTCTATTTTTAGAAACAATGAAATAAATTCTCTTGAAGCTTCTTCATAGTTTCAGAACAATGATCATTAAGACAGCCAAGTTGGGATACAAGCTTAGAACTCAGGAAAAGGCAGGACAGGTAAAATCCTACCAGGGATTGACCAGTGTGTTGAGGTCTCCTTTGGATACCTTAAGCCTTAATATATATATATATATATATATATATTTAACTCAGAAAGCAACTACAGACAGGTGTCACTAAGCCCAGAGGACTAGAGAGTATCACCAAGGAAGAATGATCATCACAGATAAAAGAAATCAAGAGCTGACTCCCCAGCTCCAGGGAGCTCACCCTGAGGCTTTACAGCCCTCAAGTCCTCCATGAAAAATGCTATTTCTGTGTGCACTGAAGGCAATCTCAGGATTTTCAGGGCTATGCTGGCCCATGCAGAACCATATGGGAACCCTCCAGAGAAATAAGACAAGTCTCAGTTCTTATTTTCCTCCAGGCCTGTAGGCAAAGCAAAAGGAGGCAGTTCAAACTACTACAGAAGCTGCAGTCACTGATCTCTAAGAGCTGAGCCAGTAAGTCAATTGATTCCCAACTCCCAGGAACATGGGGGTCGTGAGATGTTCTAGAAGGGCCAGGTGCTCCCAGAGCTGCAGTGGAAGGAAATAGTGAGGTGATCAGGGACAACTTTCTGCCATGTTCCATAAGTCAGAACTCATGCCTGGGTACCTGTAGCACAAATTAAGCTAAGATTTCTGCCCGATGCAAAGTTCCCTCTGTGCTAAGCCATACAGACACATCAGGATTGCCTAGTCCAGCGTCCGCCATGTCAGCTTCTTCCTCCACTCCCAACCCAACACCATGGAGAAAACATGACCGAACCCTCTGAAAAATCCCATGCTTACTGTTTGTCTTCTTCTGAAAGTCAGGTTCTTCCACAGCAGCAACCTCAACTGAGGCCAACAAGCCATGTTACCTCTTCTGGCACCCACAGTGACTGGTGTGTGGCTCGGGAGCCCTGGAGGCAGTGGCTGTGGCTGGTCATTAACTGAAAGATAAAGCAGGAGAAAGAGAGAGAGAGCAGTCAATCATTGCTACAAAGCCTACGCCAATGAGAGCTATGGTTCCAGCCCTATCACCTGAGAGACCTCCAATACCCTAGTCAATGTCATGACCACTCCTCAATGAGCTAAGTCCTGACAGCCAGCCTCAGAGATCTCTAAACAATGGGACTTCAGAAGGTGTTCTGGCAGAATCATGTTAATTCTATTGGTGTGATCATTCAGAAATGAAAAGTACACCCATGAAAGCAGATGTGCGTGGACACCCTTAGGTAACCACTCATTTAGGATGGAAATGGCACACTGGATCCTAGGGGCCTGTGCCTTTCTTCTCTAAGAAAATGTATGCCTTTCCACAAAATTTTAGTAACACTTATAAATTCTGCCTCAAGCCTAGAGTGACTTATGCTGTTCCCTAAAGCTTCTATGCAGACAAATTTCCATCTGGTCCCAAACCTACATCCTTCAAGCTGATAGGATACACAGCATCATCAATAAATCAGTTTTCCAGTCTGGAAACCTTCAGCATGTATTAGATGACTGTGAGTAAGCACCAAAGAAATGCCAGCAACATCTGGCTTCCTGGTGATTAGAGACAGCCCAAGTGTTGAGCCTCTGTGGAAGGAAAATAGTATCCCACAGAGAGATCAGTCTCCTAAAGCAGGCCCCGAGACAGCATCTGTGCAAGTGAGGGGCTCCCATGGTCAGCACACTTGCAGCTCACTTCTGGCCTTGCTTTATGTGTACCTGAACACAGATGTCAGATGTCACAGGGGCCTCCCTGGAAGAATGAACAGGGGATAGATACAGCTTCTGTGTGGCCCATATGCACAAAAAAGACAGCTGTACTTATTTAATGCTGGCATAATCCCAAGCAGTTTGGCTAAAGTTAAAGGCAAGGAAAAGACAGAAAAGAAAAAAAAAAGTAGAAGGAAAGGATGCCCAGGTGAAAGCCGGGCTGTGTTGGCACTTGGTAGTCATCAGGAGGGTTGAAAGGACTCAATTACTGTGGCTCTCATTGGCCTTCTAATACAATTACTACAGTACCCTGGGCACAGAAAACAACAACAATAGGATGTTATAGCCCTTATAGATACAAAACTAAAAACTGGAGTAGTTCACACCTGTAATCCTAGCTACTCAGGAGGCTAAGATCTTAAGGTTCTTCCAGTCCAGGCAGGAAAGTCTATGAGACTTGTACCTCCAATTAACCATCAAAAAGCCAGAGGTAGAGTTGTGGCTCAAGTAGTAGAATGCCAGCCCTGAGCAAAAAAGCTAAGGACACCACCCAGGCCCTGTGTGTGTGTGTATGTGTATGTGTGTATTTTTTTTTAAGGCTTAAGGTATCCAAAGGAGACCTAAACACAATGGTCAACCCCTGGTAGGATTTTACCTGTTTGTCTCCTGCCCCACAAGGAGTCAAAAAGTTCTAGAAAAGAGACTGGAGGGAATTTGCAGCATCCAGAAGAAAGGATGAAATAATATGGTATGGTATATTCTTACTTGGATATTAGCAATCTAATAAATCAGTATCAATTCTTCTGAGGCAGTCAGACCTTAAAATCTGTAAAGGACACAGACTTCTCCACCCCTACCCCTGAAAGTCTTTCAGGAAGACTTAAGTATGCCTTACCACACCCATTTTCAGCCCCTTGTTGTTCGATGTCAATGGGACTCATAGCACTAATATGATATTGCGAGAAGCATGCTTGAAACCCCAAGTTGTTCTGAGAGTAGCTTAGGACAGGGCTTGCATTTTTAGAAACACAGGAATAAAGACTCATTGGATTTCTCTGTTATTAAAGCTGCTCTCCGGGAATCACTTAGCTGATTGACAAGGTACATGAATCTTTGCCATCCCAAGGTAACACCAAGCTGGCTGTAACACAATATACTATTAGAAAAGGGAAAGCAATCTAGCAGAAATGCCCAGACATGCATTAGCCCCGGCTTCCTCACCGAGTGTCCCTGACCAAAGCTTTTATGCTCTCTGAGCATCCATTTCCTCATTATAAAGTGGGGGTGACAATGTCTGCCTTACATAAACTCTAAGAATTACACAGTAACATAAGTTCTCAACACATTACCTAAGTGACAAAGAAATACAAGTTCCCTTCTCTTCACTTACATTTCTCCATTTTATAAGTGCCAGCTCATAGAAAAATGGTTATATTCTGTCCCAGCAGAACATCCCATTACTCCTAGCTAATCCACTGAATTTCTGCACAGGTAAATGGATACAGCAGCAACGGTGAAACCTAAGTCACTTAGTGTTTGAGTGCGTAGGGCCAAAACCAAGTACCAAAGTGCCTACCTGAGCCCTGAGCAAACGTTAGAGAAAGAGAAGATGCCCCTCTACAAAGTATCCATGAGAACAAGAAATAAAGAAAGACCAGGAAGCATTTTCTTGGAGAGTTTGTTCCTCCAAAGTTGAGTTTCTAGGTCTCTAAACATGGATTCATACACCAGGGTCCAAGGAGACACACACAAACTTTCTGTCCCAATCCCTCCAGCCCACCTTAGCATTTCCTGGTTTCCTGCACACACACACACACACACACACACACACACACACCCTCATCTCAAAACACACACACACACACACACACACACACACACACACCCTCATCTCAAAACACAGCAATCAATAGTAGAAAGAAGTCAATCCAAAGACAAGGATTTAGCAATGATTGAATTGTCCTGTCCAGGTAACTAAAGCCAAAAGGACATTTCCACATCAGTTTTCCAAGTGAACAAACAATGACCAAAAAAAAAAAAAAAAAGAAAGGAAAGAAAAGAAAAGAAACAGGCAGTCTTATGTACTGGATTTCTCAATGTTTCAAAATGTAGCACACATCATTGCTGCCCTTCTACACATTTCCAGTTACTGGCTGGAAAGGATCCCACTTGAGTCATGCTAGTCAATAGGTGCTTCTCATCTGATTCCTGATACCCACAGTGGCCACTTCACTGGTCTCCCTGCTCCAGTCTTACCCCTACTCCTCTTCCTTTGACAAAGAGCCCTCAAAATGATTCAACCAAACCAAATACCCAAATATGTCCCCTCCCAACCCTTTGTTAGCCTCCACCACCCTGATGATAAGAGTCCAACCTTCACCAAAGCTTTCCTTGGTCCCATAATGACTCTTCAGTTGACTCTCACCTCTCTCCACCTGCTCTGCAATGCCTAGAGAAGGACTCATGGACTAGGAATGGACTGTATTCTCTTCTACCACTGAAACATCACTGGGCTCTTCCCTGGTCCTGACTACTTTCTGCAGCACTGTCAGCCTTGCTAATTCCTCCTCCACTCTGCGTCTCCACTCAGCTGCCACTGTCTGAGGAGTCCCCTTTCCTGATCACTTTTTCTTCTAGTCACCTGGTCTAGGGGCCCTTCCTAAGTGATCTCGACAACTTCTGCTTTCCCTTGTGAGATATGTCCAGCAGTAATGTTTCGGGCTCCTTTATCACTGTCTTCCTTGGTATGTAAAAGGTATCAGGGAATATGTGTGTGTGCTTCATTAGTTTTTTTAAAAAAAGGATGAACATGAGAAATAGTGTCTCCGAATTCATGATGGTACTATTCCTGGGCCTGTGCTAACTGATTTTTCATGCCTGATTAACTGATTCTGGCAAATTGTCCCCAGAGAAGGAGCTCTGTGTTCAGCAGGCTCCTGCCACATTGGAGAGGGTCACAAAGGACTACTAAGCTTCCCAGGGGACTCTGCAGCATAAAACATAAATGAATCTAAGTCTGATTCCTATCAAGTAGGAAGTAAAGACCAAGCAGCTGTTCCCAAGGCCACTAGGACCATGAGCTTAGCTTTCAATCCTCATGCTCAAGACCTAGGCATCATCTCTCTCATTCTTGTTGTCAGTCACCCAGGTAGACCCTCCCCCTGACCTCCTGATAAAATTTGGTGTTTTGCACATCTCAACTTTGCTTTGATCAGTAGGGACCTGAAGGAAGTGGTTGATCAAAGCTTTGATTATTTAGAATTTTTTTTTTTTTTTTGTCGGTCGTGGGGCTTGAACTCTGGGCCTGGGCACTGTCCTTCAGCTCTTCAGCTCAAGGCGAGCGCTCTACCACTTGAGCTACAGCGCCACTTCCGGTTTTCTGGTGGTTTATTGGAGATAGGAGTCTCACAGTCTCTCCTGCCCGGGCTGGCTTTGAACCGTGATCCTCAGATCTCAGCCTCCTGAATAGCTAGGATTACAGGCGTGAGCCACCAGCGCTCGGCTATTTAGAATTTTTTACTTCTGCTATGGCTGGTATTCTGAAGCCACTCATATCTATAGAATACGTAAGAGTGCTGAAATAGAGCCTTCCCAAATAAGTGAAAATGCTTACTGGTTGCAGAGAAATGCAAATCAAAACTATATTGTCTGACCATTAAATTTAAGTTAAAAAGTGCCAGCAAGTATGTGGAGCAACCAAAACTCATCACACAGACCCTGGGAATGAAAAATGGAAAAGCCGCTTGGGTAGTTTGGTAGTATCTTAGAAAGCCATACATTTGCTTACAAGATAGCCCAGTCATCCCATTCCAGATATTTACCCAAAAGAAATGAGAGCAGGTGTGCACACAGACTTTTGTACATGTTCACAGAAGCGTTACACAAAGCAGCCCCAAACTGGAAGCAACCCAAATAGCCATCAGCAGAAGGAGATATAAAAATAGGATAGTATTTGGCAACAATAAGGAACAAATTACTGATATATGTAACATGGATAAATCTCAAGAACCTTATGCTAAAATAAATTAGCCAGACATAGAAAACAAACAGGATATACTGTCTGATTTCATTTATATAACATTCTAGAAAAGGCAAAGCAATAGAACACTGGTCAGTGACTGTGGGGTAGCTATAGGATTATATAACTGGGTCCATCTGCAAAATCTCATCAAACTACATACTTCAAAGGAATGAATTTTACCATATGTAAATCAAGTATCAATAATCCTGACACCAAAACAATCTGCCT